AAGGGGGAAATCTGCACAAGCCCTTCAAAGGCCACCTGGCGATTCTGAACCGGATTGTTCTCCACCAGAGAAACTGCAAGTTTCTAAATCATTATTTCCCCGTTTTGACCTAAACATGGAGGCGGCCCCCATCGGCCAGCGAGTGCATGCCACAGCTGACATTTGCAGATCCGTCCCCCAAAAGAAGCTGTTAGAATGCACCCCTGGATGAGGTTCTAACACTGAGACTCAGTTACCAGCAGTCTAAGAGAATCACTGAGAAGCTTAATCCTCTAACCCTCTCCGATTTCCACAGAGCAAGCAGGCCCCATTGTTTCTCGCCTGGAGAGAATCAGAACCCTCTGAGGTTAAGTGTTCAGGGAAGTTTTAAGGCTTCTTCTACGGGCTGAGAGTCTGAATTTGGAAACCGGCTAGGTCAGTAGCAACGCTGTCCACACACAGATTTTGTTTCCAGAACCCACCGCAAGAACAGATCTCATTTCTTTCTTATAAGAGCCTCTCTCTTGCCGGTTCACCCGATTCAATCACCTCTACCTTTGATAAATGCAATCAGACCGAAGAAATAAGGTCTCTTTCGGATTTTGCTACACCGAGAGGAGGGAATATAGCACACGAGTGGCCCTCGCGGTGTGTAGCCCGGCGCCCACGCTGGTAATTCCAGGAGATTAAAGTCGCCGTTTTCAAACAGCAACATGAGCCGGCCAGGTCAAACCTGCGTTTCCCAAAAAGAAATCACTTACGCATCCTCTCTTGAAGAGCTCAATGCAATGGGGTAATGATGAAATGAGCATTGATCAAGTTTACCCACCTCTGCAATTCCTCTCGCTTCTAAGAATAAATGTGGAGACGAGGCATTCATTCCTCAGGTTCACACCTGTGTCTGCCCCCAGCCCCCGCCCTCCTGGGGGAGTTGGGGCGGGAGGGGGGGGCATGATATAGGCTCATCCACCACGTGCTCCCAAGTTCACTGCCAGTTGCAAACAACGTCGAGAATGAATTTGTTTTACTTCTCTGATGTCCCCCAGTTTACCTTGTTTAAGATTAATAAAGCAATTACAATCCTCTCAATTAAAAGGCTATTTTAAAATGCACTTTTAATTCTAGTTTGTGAGCAACTCAATTATTTCTATTTGGGTTTTTTTTTTCTTCTTGAGTGGGTAATTGCTGTCTTAGAGTAGCACAGGGTTCTTTCTCTTTTTCTATTTGTTTATTTATTTATTTTAGTTAATCCTCACCCGAGGATATTTTTCCATTGATTTTTTTTTTTTTAGAGAGAGTGGAAGGGAGGGGGAGAGAAAAACATCAATGTGAGAGAGACACATGGATTGCTTGCTTCCTGCATGAGCCCAGACCAGGGCCAGGGATCGAGCCTGCAACCCAGGTACATGTCCTTGACCAGAATCGAACCCGGGACCTTTCAATCCATCGGCTGATGCTCTATCCCAGGGGTTCTCAACCTTCCTAATGCCGTGACCCTTTAATACAGTTCCTCATGTTGTGGTGACCCCCAACCATAAAATTATTTTCGTTGCTACTTCATAACTGTAATGTTGCTACTGTTAGGAATCGTAATGTAAATACCTGATATGCAGGATGTATTTTCATTGTTCGCGACCCACAGGTTGAGAACCGCTGCTCTATCCACTGAGCCAAACTGGCTAGAGCACGGGATTCTTTTGCTTAAAGAAGAGGAAATACTGGGCCAAATTGTTCCCTAAAACTTAGCATCTCAGGCTCAGACCATCAACTCTCTTGAATAATGATGGCGTCCGGGTTCTGGCCTTCAGTGGGCTTGGGGACCAGTGGATGAGACAACACTAGGAGGAGGGTTATGCCTAGTGCAGCGGGGCACCAGGTGAGGGAGAAGTCAGGGACCAGGGAAATAGGAAACAGATCAGGGCGTTTGTGTTGGGTCTCAAAGAGCAGTCTGTTCACTAGACAAAAAATAAAGAGCAAAGGAAGGCTCTTATAGGTAAAAAGAACATGACATGCAACTGTGCTGGGAGCAGGGTGGGGATCCGCATTCAGTATGTACTGAATGGATGAGGCAGAGGCCAGATGAGTACAGCGTTGTGTGGGCCCCTCCTCACTACTTGTATCTACATTCATAGAACAGCCACATAATTTCCATCCCTCGCATCCACCCTGCAAATTAGGCGGCATTATCCTCCCTGAATGGATGAGGAAACCGAGATTTTCAAAGCCCCACACGGCTATGAAGGAGCAGAGCTCGGCCTGGGTTCCTGATAATTTGTGGATGTGCGAGTGAGCCCGCCTCCAAGGACTGATTTCTAGAGCAAACTCGTAGCTCTCTCCTCTCCTCCCACGTGGACCATTCCAGGCGGCCCTCAACGCCTCTCTCCCCATATATCAATCACCTCTGGTAGCATGATTGGATGGAGGAAGAGAGGCTAGCCCCGGCCATGCCCCGTCAGATTCTGGGATCAGTGGGGATCTGTGTCTCCTTGTCACCCCGGTGTTCGTCCTCTCGGGGTATCTGGTCTTAGCGGCCCCAGATGGGGGCCCCTTTTTCCCAAGTCACAAAAGACAAACTGGAAAGAGCCACCCCAACGTCACCTGAGGCCGATTCAGGCGCATGAAAGCCCTCCCACGACTCAAAGAATTGAATGGACTCTGGGTTCAGGGACAAAGCCTTTCGGTTTTGATCGAGTTCTTTTTTCCCCCTTTTCTTTTTCTAATCATTTTCTCAATTTCTCTCCTTGCCAGTTCAGGCTTTTGCTGTCAGGCTTGTTTTGGGCGCAGGCTTTTTCTCCCGGCTCAGACGATTCTACCTTGCTATTGTTGTGTTCCTTTTCCACTGAAAGCAATCAAAAATGAAAACCCACACATCCCAGAACAGGGTCTATTAAATATGCACCTTTTTGTAGATCAAATAAAAGCATTCTCTGAAGGCTGACGTTCAGGGCCGAGTATCACCCCGAGGTCAGACACTGGGGAGACCTGTCCCTCACAGGCCACCCGCATCTGGGTCACCAAGAGCGATGGTGAGAGTCCAGAGCAGGCCGACTTCCTTAAGGAATGCCTTCGTCTAAGGCAGCGGTTCTCAACCTTCCTAAGGCCGCGACCCTTGAATACAGTTCCTCATGTTGTGGAGACCCCCAATTTCATTGTTACAAATTGTTGAACATCAAAGCATAATGATTCATCACAAAAACAATATGTAATTACATATGTGTTTTCCAATGGTCTTAGACGACCCCTGTGAAAGGGTGGTTCGACCCCCAAAGGGGTCGAGACCCACAGGTTGAGAACCGCTGGTCTAAAGCATCGCTGGTCGCCCTACGCGGTTTGGCTCAGTGGATAGAGCACTGGCCCGTGGACTGAAGGGTCGCAGGTTCGATTCCAGTCAAGGGCACATGCCTGGGTTGCGGGCTTGATCCCCAGTAGGGGGCGTGCAGGAAGCAGCCGATCAATGAGTCTCCTCACCCCGCCATCAGCCCCAATGGCTGGCCAGGCCAAGGGACCCCACCTGTGCATGAATTCGTGCACCGGACCTCTAGTATTTCTACAAAAATAAGAGCACCAAAAAAGCTGCCTCTGCCTAAAACAATGAAACCAAAAACCAAAACAGGGCCTCCATCCCAAGCCAGTGTCTTCTCGCTGACTGACAGGTGCGTTACGAGAAGTTCCCTTACAGCCTGAGCATCTCAGATCTCTGAGCGGGAGGCCTGCGTTATCGATGCCTCTGTGTTCAAGTCCAGCTCATTCCCCTCCCCCACCTTTGCTAACTTTTCATGCATTTTTTTTTCCATCTTCACCTTGGAATTCTCCAAAACAGCAGTAGTTTAAAGCACTAAAATGGTTTCTGTAGTATCGATCAATTCCTGGTTTTCCACCGATTATACTTGGTTTATTAACAGTATCTTGGCTCTGCAGCATGGTTCTCTGTCCTTCTCACATGAACAACACCTCAGCGAGCGCTCATGGAAAGTCTGGAATGGACAGCAGTGATGGACAGCAGTGATGGGCAGCGAGGAGCCATGGGGGCAGAGACTCTTAGGCTCTGAAATCCGGACAGGACCTCCATCTCGCTCCCTCCACCACAACCCGAAGGCAGCCCCTGTCCCAGAACTGACTGTGGAGTCCGCCTATGGCGTCCGCATCACCACCTTTATCTCAGCTAACGTCCACTTCCTGCAAATCAGGCCTGGAGACGCCAAGCAACCCTCCAGAAACACATCTGAAGAACACCTCTGCATCCCCTCCCCACCCCGACGCGCACAGACACCCCACCTCCCAAGGAAGGAGAAAGTTAACTCTCCAGCAAACCTGGCTGCAGCCAGTCTGGCCACGTTCTCGAACCCTTCACATTCACAAAGGGGGTCTCGCAGCTGAAACCTGAACTGTGTCTGCTGAGGGCACAGACAAGGGTCAGAGGTCCTCAAGCATCCATTATCCAGAAATACACTTTCTCTCTCTCTCCCCCAAAATGAGAATAATAGGTCAGCCTTATTGTCTTTCCTTTAGAGCAGCGGTTCTCAACCTGTGGGTCGCGACCCCTTTGGGGGTTGAACGACCCTTTCACAGGGGTCGCCTCAGACCGTCGGAAAACACATATATAATTACAAATTGTTTTTGTGATGAATCACTATGCTTTCGTGATGTTCAATTTGTAACAATGAAATTGGGGGTCACCACAACATGAGGGACTGTATTAAAGGGTCGCGGCATTAGGAAGGTTGAGAACCGCTGCTTTAGAGAAAGCAGAAGTCAGGCTGCTGGGCAGCTGGTGGGAAGCTCCAGACAGAATGTGGGTGTGTGAAGCTGTGCGGGGCTCCAGAAGAATTTGGGGGGAACTCCGGGGGTTTTGAAAAAGGGTGTTCTGAGGCTGGGACACAGGGGCTCCTCAGGTTCTGGGGTACCCAGAAGTCGGGATGTAGGGGGCGGGGGGAGCGGCGGAGCTGTCCTGCCAGCCGGGCTCCCCCTCCCCTGCCGGGCCCTCCGGCCACAGCCACAGCCAGAGGGAGTCAGTCACTCACCACCCGTGAGCTGTGCAGGGCCGAAGCACAGGGCCAGCTGGAACCACAGGATCACGGCCAAGAGTCTCTGGGGGGACTGAGGCTGCTGCTGCTGCTGCTCTAGAAATCCGTCTCCATGGCTCGGGTTCATTCCATAATACATCTTTCATCCACACAGGGCATGCGGCTGGCAAGAGTCTGCAACCGGGAACGCACAGGACTATACCCCCGGCTGCCTGGGCTTGGCGGGGGCCACACTTCCGCTCCTCCCGTGGAACCGGAGGGAATAGGGGGGGTGGGTAGAGGGGGGTCGACTTCCCCGACTCCATCCCCGGGCCTCCCCCGCCCCCTTCCCCAGAGCGCCATCAC